GGCTTAGGGTCTGTTTGACTCCTTGGAATAGGGCTCTAGAATCGGAATGGTTCATTTCAGTTTCAACTGTTTGTTTGGTCAGAATGAGATTCTGATTTTCATTTTTGTAGAATGGGATTCTCCTATATTGGGGAATGGTCATTTCAGGCTCCTCCCTTGTGAATGGGATTCTCATTCCAAAGACTGTCAAGAAGTAAAGAACTCCTGACCAAAAAAAAAAATCATAAATCCTAATATTAACAAAATAATAAAATATTAATAATTTAATAATAAAAAACAAAGATATTAATTATGTATAATACAAATACAAGGTTTAGAAATTTATACTACTATTAAAATTGTGAATGAGGTCTAGATTCTGGAATTTTTTATTAAAATACCCTTATTTTTTAAACCTAGTCTCCCTTTATTAAGAGGGCAAAAGGCATAATTAGAAATTTTGAACTACTACTATTATTAAATTCATTATACTCTTCATCATTAAATCCTATATTTAAGGTATTAACTCCCATTTCCTTTCATAAATCTTATATTTAAGGCACATTAAATAAATGAGCTATGTGAATTTTTCTTTACTAAAACACCCCTATTATAAATTTAGTCCCTCTTTAATTATGTGGGTAAAAATGTAATTTAAAGTACTATTAATTTTTGTTTCATTAAATTCCCTCTCATTAAGGCATTAACCATCATTCTCTCTTCTTAGATACTTTATTCCAAGTATTTTTGTTTCTCACCAATAAATTCTACAAATTAAATCTATATCAAATATTTTTAATAGTGTAAAACATGTGTTCAAAACAAACACAGAAAACGAATAAACAAACCACCCTTTTGTTTGAGTGACAAGTAAATAGTTCAACCATTTATATCAAATGGGTTAACCAATGTTCTCATAGTTAAATAATAAAAATTTTAAAATAAATATAAATATAAAAAAAAATTATTTGTAAATTTGGTCTAGATGACTAAAATCCCCTTATTTAATCTTGGTCTCCCTTTATTATGAGGGCAAATGACATAATTAGAACAACTACTTTTATTAAATTCATTATATTCTTCATCATTAAGTCCTATAATTATGTGGACTTTTCTTTACTAAAACACTCAATTTGGTCCCTCTTTTAACTGTGGGTAAAAATGTAATTTAAAGTATTATTAATTTTCACTTATTTAATTTCCTCTCATTAAGGTATTAACTCTCATTCTCTCTTCTTAGATAATTTATTCGAAGTATTTTTTTTCTCACCAATATTCTACAAATTAAATCTATATCGAATATTTTTAATAATATACCACCCTTTTGTCTTAGTGACAAGTAAATAGTTAGACCATTTGTGTCAAATGAGTTAACCAATGTTCTCATAGTTAAATAATAAAATTTTAAAAACAAATATAAATATAAATATTTTTCTATTTATAAATGTGGTCTAAATTACTAAAATCCCCTTATTGAATCTTGGTCTTCCTTTATTATGAGGTTAGAAGACATAATTAGAACAACTACTTTTATTAAATTCACTATATTCTTCATCTTTAAGTCCTATATTTAAGATATTAACTCTCATTTCCTTTCATAAATCTTATATTTAAGGCACATTAAATCAATGAGCCATGTGGACTTTTCTTTATTAAAACACCCCTATTTATAAATTTAGTCTCTCTTTAACTATGTGGGTAAAAATGTAGTTTAAAGTACTATTAATCTCCACTTCATTAAATCCCCTCTCATTAAGGCATTAACTATCATTATCTCTTCTTAGATACTTTATTCGAAGTATTTTGTTTCTCACCAATAAATTCTATAAATTAAATCTACAAATATTTTTAATAATGTAAAACATATGTCCAAAACCAACATGCAAAATGCTTAAACAAACCACCCTTTTGTTTGAGTAACAAGCAAATAGTTCAACCATCTGTGCCAAATGAGTTAATCAATGTTCTCATAGTTAAATAATAAAAATTTTAAAATAAATATAAATATAAATATTATAAAAATTATGAAAATATTTAGGCACATCTCTGATATTATCTATTTATCATATCAAACAATAATAAGCGTGATAAATAAATGTATTTTTATTCAATGGAAATGAAATACAAGATTTAAAATTGACACAAAAGTGAAACCATTTTCCTATTCAAGTGGTGGGTCAATGGTTCAAGCTTTTAGGTCAAATGGATGTATATGCAATTATACGCATACATTTTATGTCAAATTTTGTCATAGGACTAATTGACTAAACCAAGTCCAAGACTAATCCAAGTGCATCAAATTTCAATGCAAATTGGGCCCAGGTTGGACAAATCAGGCTTGACTTTGGTTAAAGTTTTAGGTCCAATGCATAGAGTTGGGTATGGGTTAAGATTAAGTTCAGCCCAACCCACTTGACTTGCTCCATAATGGTCCAATTGTTTGAGTAAATGGATTAACCAATGTTGTCATTATTAAATAATAAAAATTTTAAAAATAGATAGAAACACAAAAAAATAAAACAATATAGAAATTTTTGACACATCTTAAATATTGTAAACTTATCATATCAAACAAAAATATGTGTGATAAAAAAGAATTATTTTTATAATTAATTATGTAAATGAAATAAAAAATAATAATTTAAAGTTGCCCAAAAATGAGATCGTTTGTTTTCAAGCCAAATAGGCTAGAACATGATGCCATAATTATATAATAAAAATTTAAAAATATAGAAAACACAAAAAAAATATCTATGAAATTTGTGCACATCTCTAATATTATGTATTTATCATATTAAATAAAACAAATATGACAAATAAAAATTATTTTAATTAATAATGAAAATGAAATATAAAATCTAAATCCACTAGCACTCCATGCTTTAATCATTTATCATTTTTAAATGTTTCTAATAAGTATATTGAATTTATTAATGTTATCTGAAATTGCTAAGTGCAACGCACATGCATGTTTACTAGCTAGTAGCATATAAAACTACTATATACAAGGTTTTGCATTGAACATATTTCTATTTGCATTCTTCCCAAAATAGGCTAAAAGCTCGTTTTTGGAAAGAGTGTAAATACAAATATATACAGTGCAAATACAAGTTTCAAAAATACTGTATTCAAGATTTTGCACTGAACATATTCCCAACCGGATAGGTAAATGTGCAGAACCAGTTCTGAATATCAGACCCAATAGGGTTTGTAATAAGGAGCATTGGGTCCACCATAGTGAGATGGACAGTTATACTTTTACATGTAATTTGACAATAAACTTAATTATTTGTTTTTCTTAACCATAAACCTAATTATTTGTTATATTTACACATTTAGACATCATAATATGATAATTCTACAAGCATAACATGGGAAATAAATAGGCATAAAACTCAAAATCTAATGGCTTAGTTTGGAAAGAGTGTACATTAAAAGTTTATGTATTTGTACTGTACAAATATATATTTGTATTTGTACTCTCCCTCCAAACTGAGCCAATGGTCTTAATTAATCCCTTCCGAACAACCCCCGACTCAATTATATAGTCAAAACACATAATGCACCTAGACCTTATTTAATTGGATCGGGTCTGGTCTGTCAAATCTGCCCGATCCATTTACAGCATTATGCACTGTTCCTTCTGACTAATCATATTTTTGCGTATGTGGTAGACATCAATCCCTTCTGAACCAAGGGCAACAACCCGATGGGGTGATCATAACTCAACCCAATTAAAAATCAAATCGGATACAGGTTGCTACTAACAACCCGATGGGCTGGAGGCTCAAGATGGATTCCTATCTGATAACACAGCAAGCATATCCCCTCCCCCCAATGCTGGTAGGCAGAGCTCCAAGCTTCAGCATCCTTTTTCAAAATCAAAAGAAGCATAAAATAAAGGAGAAAAGTAAAACTTTGCATGGAGCATTAATTAAAGGGTTAAAGCAATTTTTTGCTGAACTACAAAAGCAAAGCAACAGCATGCTACTGAACCTTTCCAACCCACCCAACACAACTTTTCTCTCTCTACGTTTCTTCCCAGTTCTAATATTCAAAGAGAAAGATCCTCTTAAAATATTCCAAAAGTATGTCTTCTACAAGCAAATAAAGAAAAGGAGATGCCTCTTAGTCTAGTATTTATATGAAAAGTCATGGAGATGAGCACACTTTTGCATTGATTGAATAAGATTCCTTAATAAATAAATCCCATTCTCCTTGACACTCAAGCTCCACTTAGTTTCCATCTCAATTGCATTTACCCAGAAACCATATCCTTTATTTTATTTGTGGAAAGAAACGGCAAAAGTTGTAAAATCCATGCAAACCCTCAGAATGATGACTTGAAAGCTGGAGCAAGAACAAGAAGAAAAGAGAAAGTTATCCCTATTTTAATACCCAAAAGAAAAGACTAAGAAGACTTACTTTAGAGTGCTCGTGAAGAACTTCTCATGTGGGTTCTTCATGCTTCAGTGGAGGTTTGAAAATACTCTCACACCCAATTTGTAATCAGAGTTCATTCCCACCCATCAATCCATTTGAATTTGACCCATGGGGATAGATGAATGTTTGAATGGTAGAGATGCCATAGAAGCTCATGATCAGTTCTGAACTTCTGATGCATGGTATCACTTAATTCTAGATTAAAGAAAATAACCCAGATAGGAGAATAGAAAATTGACATCTTTGGAAATGGGATCCAAAAGAGAGATAAGGAGCTGTTATTGAATAGAAAAGGTGCATCTCTTTATGCTCCATCCACCTTCTTCATTACTATATAGATATAGGAGATCAGCCCTGATGTGGGAACCACTATAGATGAAAACTATTGCCACGTCATATGTAATGATGATGTGGACTAGAAGCTCAATATCAACTTTTTATTCAGTGAGTCTTTTGAGATTCTTTGATGACGTAAGCAAGTTGTTCTTGGGAGCCGTTACATGAGCTTTTTCAAAGGCCCACTTCTCCTATATATACAAACATTTCCTTTGGCTCTCTCCTTGGGTAAATCTCTAACATCTATCTTTTCTACATATAGAAGTCTCCGCCCATCTCTCTCTCTCTCTCTCTCTCTCGTGTCTATCTGCCATGGCCGACGTTGAAAGCAGCGGAGATGCACCAGGGTTCAAGCTTTTCGGCACAACAATCCCTCTGCGGGTGAGAAAAGCTGAGGTGGAGGAGTCAAAGGCGGATGACACAAGTGAAAAGAAGCCGGAGAAGACCATTGCTTGCCCCAGGTGCAAAAGCATGGAGACCAAGTTCTGTTATTTCAACAACTACAACGTCAACCAACCTCGGCATTTCTGTAAGGCATGCCAGAGGTACTGGACGGCCGGAGGAACACTTAGGAACGTACCGATCGGAGCTGGACGAAGGAAAAACAAGCCATCAGATCACGGGACAATTGGGTTCTCGGACAACTGTGTGTTGGATGCTTCTGCAGTGAACCAATTTGATTTGGAGAGTGTGATGGAGCAGTGGACCATGGCCACCACCAAAGGTGGTTTCCGGCATGTCCTCCCATCCAGCAAGAGACGGAGAAACACCTCATCTAGCTAGTCAAACATTATCACTTTTTGTCTTGTTACTCCAATGGAAAATGAAGAATTTCTTTTGAAAGAAAAAAAAAAAAAAAAAAAGCGAAAGCCAGTTGGGTTTAAGAAGGTAAGAAACTGTATATACAGGCTGGTTTGAACTAATTAATCATGTCGACCAATGTATTTACCCTTAAAATGGGTCTCAGAATCAATCATATTCTGATCAATTCTGAACGACGCAACTCAGAGGTTATGCCTTGACACTGTTTTTCCATACAACAAGCTTTCATTCTCCATCAAATTTCTGGGTCCCACCTAAAAGAGATCAAAAATCAAAGGTTTGCCATGTGCAGGGAGGATACATTAGGAAGTAATGACCCCCCCCCCCCCTCCCCTACAAGGGTGCACCATGTAACATGATAGCTGTATCCTATTCTTCTTTTGATTTTGGGAGAAACAAGATTATCTGTATTGCTACAAAACCATATAAACTAAACAAAAGAGTCAAGGGGTGCCCAAAGAAAATTCATAATTTATGGGGCCAAGTTCCATTGCTGCTGAAGTGTTAATATATGAAGAGGTCTCTATGTTATAATTTAAACGCAGATGTTTCTCTTTTATTATCCCAAACAGAACCATAACCGGAAAATCTGGGATGGGATCAGTATTTTATGTAGAGAGAAACTTTCGGACGGCCAAATGTGAAATGTTTCTTAGTCTTAGATGCCTAGCCTCAGTATTTGCGGGCTTTGGTTGTGGTCATTGACCAAAATTCAGTGCTGCCAACGGAATTGGAATCCGATGCTATTGAAGTTATCTGAATTCAATCCATGTACAATTGTATGGATACACTCCAGAAGGGTATGATAACGTAAGAACTTTGATCAATCAGAACCCTATATTGGTTACCACTAGGGGTGGATACAAGCCGAGTTGAGCCTACTATTACATTATTTGAGTTCAGTTTAACAGAAAATGAGGCTTGAGTTGAATTCAACTCAACTCAAAAGCTTATATGTTTTTACCAAAAATAGAATTTGATTTGGTTCAAGATTTATAGTGAACCAAACTTCGTATAAAAGATAAAAAATATATATATTTTTATATATATATATATAAATTAAAAACACTATATATAAGTATAAGGCCATGTTTTCGAGTGCTTATGTTAAAAATAAGTGATTAAAAACAAGTGCTTATTCCAATAAGCACATATTTGCATTTGGCACCCAACTTTTTCAACTGCTTATTTTATATTGGGTGTATGGTGGTGGTCTTTTCTCCAATAAGCACTTAAAATAAGCAATTGTGACTCTTTTGTCCTTCATTTTCTTTCAAATTTTCAAACATCCAAACCAAAGTGAATGAATAAAAGTACTTTGATAAAAGTGCTTTTATAAAAGTACTTTGATAAAAGCACTTCCATAAAATACTTTTATAAAAGTGTTTTCCTAAAAGTGCTTTTATAAAATTATTTTTGAAAAAATTATTTTGTAAAAGTACTTTTATAAAAATGCTTTCATAAAAGTACTTTTATAAAAATGTTTTTATAAAAGTACTTATATAAAAATGCTTTCGCAAAAGTGCTTTTATAAAAGTACTTATAAAAGTACTTTCATAAAAATACTTTTATAAAAGTACTTTCATAAAAGTAATTTTATAGAAGTGCTTTCGTAAAAGTGCTTTCATAAAATTACTTTTATAAAAATGTCTGTGTAAAATTGTTTTGTAAAAGGGTTATAATTGGTATTCTAAAAATTCACTGGGAAAAATTATGGGAGGAAAAAATTGAATAAGTGCTTATTGTATGAGCACTTAAAAAAAAAAACTGAAAATTTGGGCTTAAAAAATAAGCACTTATTTTAGGCTTATTTCCCAAACACTAATAAGTGCTTAGTGGTGTAGTCCCCACCCAAATAAGCACTTATTTTTAAGCAGTCCTAAACATGGCCTAAACTCAATAAGGCTCAAAGCTTCACAAGGGGAGCCTATATATTGAGTTCAAGCTCGACTCAAAGCTAGATTGAACTAACCAAATTGATGTTTTAACAAGCCAAGCTTGAATGGCTCACCAATAACTTTGATTTTTGTCGACCCCAGGTACCACTTTTATGATACCAGTTGATTGGTTATCAGCTTTTTAGGTATCATATTTTTTTCCATATCATAGTTGGACTTGAATGATTCATTAAGCTGATCCCATATTGTAGGGACAAGGTTTTAGACTCCAGATGGTATCATGATAATGATGATGAGTCGGATTCCAATGGTGTACATTATACAATATCCTGAATCTAAAAGTCTGATCTGATAATCTGAATCAGATTTCAGATATACCAGGGAAATTGATTAAGAAAATACAGAAGAAATGCATGGATATACTTTTCCCCGGGGGAGGGGGATATTTCTGATTCCTAATTTTTTCCATTCTAACATCAGATGATGTTTCCAGAGTACCCTAACAACTTTGTCTCTGGGGCTCTTTCGTCTCTGAGTAAACCGAAGCGTCCATTATGAAACAAAGTCAACCCAAGAAAACAGAATGAAGTCTCAAGTGGTCGATCTACCTGGTAAAGTTACAATGATTAACGTATGGTTTAAGCGGTTCAATACCAGATTTTCCAGTGTGGACACTGGGTGATCTAGACACAAGAGCCTATGAGCTATGAGCTATGATATGTAGTCAGCACTTAGCAGGACCTCGCTGTGCGGACCTAGTTCTTAAAATGGCCTTCTTTAAAGGATCAATTAAATAAAAACTGAGGAAGGGTGTCCCAAAAAAAATGTTATTTTGAGTTTTGACTTCCTTCTAGTCCATCCATTATTCGTTAACAACCATAAACTATTGCGGTTTTTTCTCTTTTCCCTCATAAAATGTGTTACTGAACCTGTCGTTTCTTGATATCAATTAAGAATTCAATACCAGACCAGAATAACCTTCACTCAATGTGACTTATAATATTCATTAATTAATCAATCTGCCTCTGGATGATCCCTAGGGAACTAGGGTTAAAGTTGAAAAAATAGGACGTCCTTCTAGCTTGTTTAACATATTTAAGTTGGTCCTACTCTGACTTTTTTATTCATTTATTTATTATTTAACCGTATTTTTCAATTGACCAGGTTAAGCTGTTTAATGTTCTCCCAAGTCCCAACTAGGTAGCTGGTAGCCCAACTCATCTGGATCAACCCTTTGCGTCTCAGTAAAAACCAAATCTCTTAAGATTCTTGTCTTCATGTAGAAACAGATCCCTAAAAATATTCAGAGCCAAAATAATCAATAAAGCAAGGCAACTAGGCAAAAAAAAAATAATGTTCTTATTAGCTAGGTTTTATCTTCATCACACGCAATACTTGTCCATGTTATATGTGGTAATGTGAGAAACCTTCACCTCCCCAGCCACTTCCAACCCAAAAAACCCATCCAGCTATACAGCAAATGCACTGTGGTTTGTATTGGCTTCTTGTTTTGTGCATCTTCACGTCACTGTTTCAAGGCAGAGGAAAATAGACACCTTTTTTACAAGTAACATGCAACCACAAAATTCATGAAAACCTCCATCTGCAGAAAAAGTAATGAAGTTTCAGATTTTACAAAATGGGTAAAGGATGGTTCATTGAGATTGAGTCAAATACCTTTGCAAGCAGTCAAAAAAATGATCGGCTGGAGGGAGCTAATTTATAAGGTAAATGCCTACCTAGTCTTGGGTTTGGGTACTCTTTTCAACTACAGTCAGAGCATCCTCAATGGCTTGAATGAAGGTAGCAACCTTGTAGGTGAAAAACCCCACAAGCATTGGTATCAAATCTAGGTGCATGAATCCATATTCTGGCACAAGAAGCCTGCACCATCATAGCATTGTCAAGCACTGGAGACACAAGACAAAGAAAATAAAAGAGATGATATTCTAAAATATATAGATTGAAATTTAATCTAAAGAAAAATGGAATGAGAACAGAAAAAGATTTACACAAGAAAAAACAATAATTGAACTTTTTTTGTCATGAATGTATGGTTATAGACCATTTTTTTTTTGGCTTCATGGGCCTACACAATGGAAGGGTAGCCAGTCCTCCATACGCATACCCCCCCCCCAAAACCCGGTGAGGGTGAAGACAGGAATCAACTCCATATCCACCACAACAAGCTAGACACCAAAGACCTTACCAACTGAGACAGTTGACAATTTCATGTATGTTTATAGACTTGAGTTTCAAGGATAACACCCTTCATGTGATAATAGAGCAAAGTGAATTACAATGTAAGAGCATTATCCTCACCCATTCCATCGGTTATAGATCATAACCAGTACCACAGGAACCAACAGCCTTGGCTGCCCAATTGCTCCCCTGCACCAAAATTTCTGTAAGTGCACCTATTCAGAAATCATTCATCATCGTATGCTAAAGATAAAATTCATAAAATAAAAAGACATAAATTATCATATGATTGAATTACAGAAAGCAAAAAACCTGCAAACCACTATGCAGCTACTGTACAAAAAGGGTGGCCCATAACCATCAGCTGCAATTTCACAGATAGTCCAATACTCCAATTTAATCATGTTCACTAACTATAGTAAATCATCTCCAGGAAAGAAGGAAAGAGATGCATCCAATTTAAAATTTTAGAATTTTCTTTCTCAGATAGTATGTGTTTTGTAGCTTCTGCCTGATGAAGGTACCATGCAAAACCTCAAAATACTGAAGTGGGTTCCAATTAGGAAGAACTAAATAGCATTCTCTTTTCAAAGGGACATGTATGATGCCAAGGGGGAAAGAACTAGAAAACTCAATGAAGCAGGAAAGAAAAGAAGACAAATGTTCATACTTATCATAAAAAGAAGGAAAAGGGGGAAAGAAATGAAAAAGCCATCAGGTTTGTTATAAATTTACAACACTTTCAGGTAGCAACTTTCTCATGATTATTGATATGTCTAAACCAGAAAATATTTTCCAAAAGCATAACCATATATAACCTGAGTAAGAGAACATAAAAATTGTTCAATTGAATAAACTCAAGAAGGAGAAGACATATGCAAGTCCAGGTGAAGCCTGTGGCAGATCTCACAGGGGACTCCCTTATACTTTCTTTTCTTTCTTTTCTTTTTTTCTTTTGCATCAAAGCAGTAGTAGTTCTACCAAAAAAAAGTCTAATATTAGAGAGACCTAATTAAGAAAAAGAATTACTTATGATCCTAGTGTCTTTGAATGTATGAAAATCAAATAAGGGTGTGTAAGGACCTGCCTCTCCGCTCGTACAGTCTATGTTGAAGGCTTAGACTGTTGTATAAGACAAAACAAGATATAAGGCCAATAAACACCTGAACAGAAAGATAAAACTAACAACCCAGGCAAACACTTCCTAATGCAACCAACTCAACAGCTGATAGAATTGACAATTCTAGGGAACCAGTGGCACAAGCCATTCAACCTGGATGCCAGAGCATGCATCTCTTGTGAAGAAAAGAAGATGCCAATGGATACCAGAATCTCTACTGAGACTAAAAATTTACCATTTATTGGTTCCCATCTATGTTCTAACTCTTAAGGTCATATGATGCCTTGAAAGGGGTAATAAATCTCTGTTCATACAGCATGCACAGGCACCAGTAGGCCCCAAAACTGCAAGATAGTCTTGCCATTATTATTACTAAGCATACACCAATGCACCAAATTCTTAAAGAGTTGAATTGCCTAGAGAATAGCCATCAAAGTTTAGCCTCAAAGTCTTCTATGCTGAGGGATAAAAGATGGAGCTGATACAAAATGAGATGGATCCAATCTAGATCTAGAAAACCATCCCTACTCCCCAGAAAACCAGTTAACTGAAATTGCTCCAACGTCATAGAACATAGACACCCAACAAGAAAATGACCAAGATTATGTCTGTTTCTGTTGGGGCCAATCCCAGAATAATCTTCATATATGGCTTTGAAGAACAATGACCTTGATTAAAAATGAAGCTAAGGTATTCGGGCAGTATATAAGGCTTTGAGGAACAATAAACAATAAAAAAAAGGAAAAAAGAAGTTAATCTCTGGGAAAGTATGGGAGTGCAGTAACCACCATTGGAATGGTTGGTGGGGAGACCAAGTTCCAGCTTCCAGTTGCAATAAGTATATATCATGAACCAGTATCTTTTTTACATTGGCTATAGAAGAGCTAGATAGGCATATTCTGGATGAATAATGCCCTATGTTATTTGCAGGTGGCATTTGATTGGCAACACTAGATTAAGATAAAACCAAAGCTAGAACTATTGAATGAAACTTTAAGATCTTAAAAATTCAAAATAAGCTCTTTCTGGGGAGATACATGACAGAAAGAAAAGAGTTTTGGAGAAGTATTATATTATAAAACATAAATATGGTAATGCAGGCCCGGATTGGGTAACATCTGCTTGCTCTGACTCTTATGGTGTTTAGTGTGTGGGGAGGAATGACGAAATTTAAAGACCTGTTCTTCAAAAGTATCTCTTTCAAATGTCAAATTAGGGAATGCTCAGAACATTATGTTCTGGGAAGATCAGTGGTGTGGATGAGGCCCTCTGAAAGAGACATTCCCTGATTTGTTCAGCACTGCACTTAATAGAGAAGCTTCAGTCCAAGACTCATATGAGATCTTGGGGATCCAACCAGTGTGGGCGCCCAGGCTTAAGAGAAATATCCACGACTGGGAATCTGATAGGCTGGTACTCATGTTGGATCAGCTATCCAAAATCTCTCCTCAACCAGAGATCTTGGACAAATGGTGACGGGAAGCAGAATTTTCAGGCATCTTCTCAGTGAAGTCCTATTATAATTACATGACCATTTTGAATGAGGAACAGGTTCCATGGAAATGGATTTGGAAAACAAAAGCTCCAACAAAGGTGACTTTTTCCTTTGGTCTGCTATTCTGGGGAAATCCCTTCTAAAGTCAACTTCGCATCTAGAGGTATGCAAGTGGATACAACCTGTGGCCTGTGTGGTACTACAACTGAGACCACTGAACATCTGTTGCTGTTCTGTCCATTCTCCCGTAGAGTGTGGTGTCACTTCATTCAGATTTTAAGGTCTTGGGTGATGCCAAGCAATATGCAGAGCTTGATATCATCTTGTCCATCTTTTGGTTTCAGTTAAAGGGGCAGTATCATTTAGACTCCCAGGCCTGGCAGGAATTGGGGGAGTGTTTAGGGATGCAAATGGTGAAACAAAGGCATTGTATTCAGGTCCCATTGGATTTGGTGACTCTGTTAAAGCTGAAATAATGGAGCTGCTAAATGGGATGAGGGATAACTAAGGAATTGGGGATTCAACAGTTGGAAGTGGAGGGAGATTCTAAGTTAGTCATCTCTTAGGTTAAGGAATAATACACCAGGAGCTTGGACCTATAGGCAGACATTAAGGGTATGTTTGGTTTGAAGGAAAAGGTAGGGAAACCTATACAAGGTTTGTAAAGGTTTCCCTACCTTTCCTTTCCTTTCCCTACTTTTTCCTTCAAACCAAACACAGCCTAAGGGAGATTGGTATAATAGCTAAAGAAGTGGGAGATACCGTTATGTGGGTAAGAAGATCGACAAATGGAATAGCAGACTCTTTGGTCAGGCATAGGTTAACAGGCAACAACTTTTTTGGGCTGAATTGTAAATAGGATGATATAATCAAGAAGAGTGGCTGAGGACTTCCCAGCTCCTTTGTAATATTTCTCTTATTAATTTAATGCAATCTTTCTCTTTCTGATAAAAAAAATAAAAAACAAGTCTTTGAAAACTTTGAGCAGCAGGTGGAATCTATTTTTGGAAAAGCGAACATGAATGATTTTAATTTTCTCTTTTTTGTTCTTATTAGGAGGGGATTATTTTGATGATGACTTCTGTTTTCGAGTAAAGGATATATTTTTGTATATTCCTCTCTATCATGTACAGCTAACTCATTGTACATGTCTTTTGAGGGGGAGCTTCCCTCTTATTAATACAGAAATTATACCTTTCTTATAAAAAAAAATCAAAATAAACTCAACTAGAACAAAATACATGCAATGTGACATCTGTAAAGATAGGAGCAGAAATAGAAAGTAGTGAGAGCAAAGAGAATCTTTTCCTTTTCAATCATTCAAAAGGAGGGAGATAATAAAGAGAATGTTGACTAAGGTTAGAACTAGTTACAGGAAGAAATGAACTTTTCCTCAGTATTACATAAGATGCATTACAGGGGGCTCATTGGGTGGGGACAGAGCAGGGTTCACGTTAGGTCCACTGATCTTATCACAAAGAGCCTGGGGACACACAGGTTTGATTCTGTGCCTCCTCTTTTAGAGGGATGCTGAGTGACCATCCGAACTACTGGGTCATTGTAGAGTAAGAAATGAACTTCAAGCAAGTTCTATGATCAATGAAAATTAATAGAATCAAAGGGAAAGTTTTGTGGGACCCTTTTATATTAACAACTATGCTTCACAAAGCAGAAGGCTAAACAATCAAGAAAGAACATGACTAAAAAATATGCATTACCAAATATGATGAGATAAATAAGCAGAAAGACTATGAGGAATAAAATTATAAATGTGCTTATTTCAGGGAATTTAGGGGTATACCCATTTATATAAAACCAACCAACTAATATTGTTTGGCCATGTCATAGAAAGACCAATGAATGCACTAGTAAGATGGAGCAATTTTGTGCATGTTCAAGGTTACGAGAACAAAATGAACAAGGACTCATCCATGAGAAAATATTTGGCAGTTCATCCACTAAAAAAGGATATAGCCTTGCAAGAGAACACTAAAGGAATAAGATACATGCAGCCAATACCACATTAATGGGATGAGGTTGATAATGGTTTAGAAAGATTTGAATCATTGAAATTAACCATGAAAGAACTCCAACATCCAAGTCCAAGAAGGATTGAGGAGTTCTAAATCGTGTCTAAAACTTGGGCTAGTGATGCTAGTAACAATGCAAATAAAGCATTAATGAAACCCACTCAAATGAGATTTCCTTTCCTCTAGGTTAATTTCCCCTTTTACCAACTCATAACATTAGACTTGTCTATGGATGAGTTAAATAAGATAAAACAAGGAACCAACATGGCATGTCATCATCATCATCATTAAACCTTGTTCCAACTATATGGAATCAACTACATGAATCCTGTTTTACACTTCCTTCTGTTCGGTACCATATCCATTGTTAAATTATGGCAACTTAAATCATTTCTTATTACTTCCACCCAAGTCATTTTTGGCATGCTCCTAGTTCTTCCAGCCCTTTCAACTTGTAACAGATCACTTTTCTTAACAGGTTCTGTAGGTGGTCTTCTATGCATGTGATCTGACCATCTCAATTTACTTTCTCTCATTTTATCGCCTACTGGAGTTACACCTAGGTTACTTCATATGACTTCATTTCTAATCCTGTCTTTTCTACTTTTACCACTCATCCATCTAAATATTATTAAAAATTAGTGCATCTTACGGGTAATTGTTTTCTATTTAGTTGCATTTGTTTTGTTTACCAAGTCAAATAAGTCAGTTCCTAGTTTGTAGGAAAGTATCAGTAATGGAGTTAGAGGTAGAGATTTTGTAGGTGGTTGGTTAATGTTAGTGGAGAAATCTTAGGAGGATTAACGTTAGTATATCCCTATATATATGTGAGTCAGATGTAGTTGAGTTGTCAACAACCAAAAGAAGTCCTAATAGTACTAGTATTTTCTCCAATATTTCCCTTATTTTTCTCTTAGTTATCCAACATATACTGCAATTTTTTCCTCTCCTTTTGTTATAAATATTTGCATTTCTGCCATACTTAATTTTTGGATATGTTTTATCTTATCTGCCCAACACTTTGCTTCATATAACGTAGCTGGCCTTACAACTGTTTTATGGAACTTACCTTTTAGTCAGAGTGGTATTCACCTACCACATAAGATTCCGGATGCACCCCTCCATTTTGCCCATCCTACTATAATTCTATAGGTGACATCCTCAATCTATCCTTTGCTATGAATTATTGAACCAAGGTAATGTAAGAGGTCACATTTAGTTATTTCTTGGAATGTTGTAATGATTTATGGTATAAATGCTCATTCTCCAACTTAAAATAAGAAGAAAAATAAGAAAGCCATGAAAGAAAAGGAATTCCCCAGAGACATATTAACAACAAAACAATGAGGATTTAGTACTCTCTCTCTCTCTCTCTCTTCATTTATTTTCCTATTTCTCCACTTTACTCATCTCTATCTTCCTCTTGCAAGTGCCACAAAACTAGTTTTCATAATACCAATATATCTATTATATATTGGTATAATATAATAGATAAAATAAACTATATCCTGTAAATTCAAATCTTCTGATTCACTTCTGTCTGCCCTCTTAGTTTCTTTCAGAATTTTGATCATTGCCATCCCACTATGTAGTATGTACAAGGTGCCAGACTTGGCAGGCCCAAACAAATAAGATTCAGGGACTTTACTGCAGTACTTCATTTTCAAGATACAGTTTGTTATAGTATTTAAAATTTATATAAATAATAGGATACTTTCTGAAATAGAAAAAAAAAATGTAGGTGCACAAATCAATGCAAATGACACTAAGCAAGCATACCAAGTTCAAGTATTACAAATTTACCATAAGAGATTGAAGTTCTTTAGTCACGTATCACAAATGTAACAAAGAGAAAAGTCCCCTTATTACAAATGTATTTGTTTGTATATTATTTTGATGGGAGATACTATAAGAAGCATCCAAAAATGTTAGAATTTCCAATACATTTGGCAGGTTAAGAAATGAAAAGACACTCAACTAAAGAAAAACAATAGCAATGTATCTGTGCGTGGCTGGATTTTTATCATAATCCAAATTTAGGCATTTTAGTTTTATCTTCTATGTTTCTAGACCTTTACAAGTTTTGTGTCCTAAAAATTATTTATTTTTTTTATTCTGCATTTATTCCTACCATGCATTAAGTGCTCAAAGATTTCCAATAAAACCTAGCTGAATGGATTCCCTAAGAAGCTACAAAACCAGATAATTGTACATTGATGTCATGTAATGTCAGACAATTTAATATTTTGTGTAAATCCTGTGTCCCAATTGCTCATCCAGCTGTGTCCATTCTGTACCTGAGTATCATAGATAAAAAGTAAGGATTGTGAAATAAGGGAGTCACTGATACCATAAGATGGATCAGATAATGTGTTTTTTTTCCCATTATCTGCATATCACAAACTTAAAACCTCAGAACTATATGATACACTAAATACATAAGGAGCTGAAGACCTTCAGCCAATGTCAAGCTAATCCAACCAGAGATTTGCATTTCAGTTTGAGTAACCTTACATTCTACAGCTGTCAAGCATATAAAAACATCTAAAAGTATAGGAGTAATGTTGGAATTACTTGATAAGCCCCTTAGCTCCATCTGCCATAGAGTCAATACTATTCCCGAGCATGCGTATATACACCAAAGAACCAAGCAATCCTGCACCAAAGCTGAAGATAGGAACAATAGAAGGAGAATTAACCACTGTGAAGTTAAATTTATGTCTAGTATCACTTCTTTTTGAAGTGAGAGACTATCACTTTGAAGAGAATCCTCATATACCTTAAAACCATGGTTCAAAGTATCAATACGCCTCTGTGTATCGGTACTTTGAACCACGCGGAAATATATTTTTTTTATTTTTTTCAAAATTTGGTTTTTGGGTAGTTTAATACCCATATTTATCATTAAAAAATAATGGGGTCCTGAAACACCTGTAAACAGGCGTTTCAGGACCCAAAAGATACGATACGATACACCCGATACGGGGCGTATCGTCTCGATTTTTTGAACCTTGCTTGAAACATGATATGCTTTCAGAATAATTGAATTCTATTTTTGCTTCAAATGGATACTAACTATACATCATCGACATATGTGGTCATCTCTCATCCTAGTGGAGGAAAGTAGAATGGGAGGCTCAATGGGAAAACAAAGCCAGAAAGGCACCTAGAATGGGAGGCTCAATGGTATGACATTCACAGAACAACCTTATAAAACATGCAATCCAGCATCCTTCACTTCAACAGATGAGAAAACACAAGATAATGCAATGCCATGAAAGATGAAACTTGATAGTTGGCCACTGTTTTCTAATCAATAATCAGGGATGATTAAATTTTCCAGTAAGTAATCTATCCCCAGTTTAATACTTTGTAGTTTGTCCATTCCTTGCACAGAGACATGATTATGAATTGCTGAGCATAGTTTCCACATAATACAATACTGAAAAATGAAACAGCTAATTCAATAAATACAATGGTGAACAGAGTAAATAGAAAATTGAACCCAAACTTTTATTCTTGAATCTTGGAATGTCAAAACACTCACAACAACCAGAAAAGGACCATTCATTATATGAAGTTACCAGTGAAAGTTACAAGCCACCAGATTTATAAACTTTTAGTTTAACATAATAGTTTAGAGAAACTGCAGAGATACTAAAAAGAAAAAAGATGTGCATTAGTTGATTTCTAGAATGACAAAATTATTTTATTCTATCTTTCAAAAAAAAAAGCTGTCAACTGCATCATCAAAATAGAAGAGAGTAAACTCTTCCCTATCATAGGAACAAGAATGCCATAGTCAACTTCAGAGCAAACCCATCAATTAAAATGTGGATCTCTTTTCCCACTTACCTAGCTGCAACCTCTGGAGAATAAGATACATAAGCAGAGAATACACCAACACCACCTATACCCAAAGTAAGGAGTTGCAACTTCTTCTTCAACTGAAAAGATAATAAATATAAGAAATAATAAAGAAATTGACAATTTATTTTCCACATAGAAACACATTGATACAAACATATGATAATGTTCGAAGATGCACTTAGATGCCAATGCAAATACCTTGAAATATTGCTCCCTTGACTGAGCAGCCAATACTTGTGGATCCCCTCGCGGACGCCTTAATTCACGAAACATCACATCCTACAATTGGAAGCAAAATTAGAAACCGAAAAAGGTTTTCAAATCAGGAAGGCATATAAAAAAGGATCAAGAATTTGAAAATTCTGGGTGTAAAGAAGGGATTTGTCAAAAATAAGTGAAATAACATTAGGATGAGGTACTTCAGAAGCAGTGTCATAGAACCAGTACCCCGGTTAAGAACGTAGCAAAAGAAGGTGAGTATTAACCACAACAGATTCTGACTTACACTGCCCCCTGTTGCTGCCTTGCTCGCTCTATCCCACTTTTCTTGCTCACGCCTTGTTGGAGCTAGTCTCCATCTGGGTGATGCATTTCCAGTGCTCTGAAGACCATATTGTTCCATCACTTTGAAATGTATGACTAAGAAGCAGACAACAATTCGAACTCAGAATGTAAAACCAGAGACATTCGTCTTACTTGGGTTGCCGAAATACCTCGTCTTGCAGTCTCAACTTGCAGTTCCAATATTGGTTTGGAAGGTGCTGTAAGCTCCTTGCTCAAATCAATTTCCATACTGTGTCCAAAAATTCCACGTAATATCAAAAACACAAAGGAACCGATAGAGAAAAAAACGAATAAAATTACTTGTAATCAGAAAATTAAAACGTACAAACCTGTCAAGGCTCATAACTCTGGTAAGGCTTAAAAAACCAGAGGGCTCTTCCTGCTACCATAATTAATGAGTGAAATTAACTTATATCAAACACTGAACAAATAGAATAGAAGACAAAACCAAAGAATAGTGAATTAAGAGAAAGACCGAAAAGTGATAACCTGCTTAGGAGGGGTTTGAAGAGAGGACGAGTCCGGCTCCTGAAGCAACCTCTTCATACGACCCATGAACTCCTTGTTCCAGATGAAATCGTCGCTGGTTAGAGGATCTTCTTCTTCGCCTCCCCAGTACTTGCGGAGCTTGGTCGTCGTCGGTGGGCCTCCGTATTCGCCCGGAGCAACACCCGTGGACCATTTCTGAGGCTTTTTTCTCGGAAGAACCACCCGGGTCTGTCTAGGGTTTGGAGGGGTTTGTGGGTCTTGGGATATCGGAGTCACGGCAGAGTTCACAGAGATGTAGTTGAGGACAGCCATTGCCGATGGTGGTGAAAAGGGTCTTTCTCTTCTTTTGGGTTTATTTTCACACACTCTCTAACCCCGCAGCAGCAGTAGTGACGAGCTTTCGCCGCCCTTTTTCCGCTCACTCCTCTTATATTTGTGTGCGAGTTGCGACGGTGATCAGTTTGTGTCCATTCGTTATCGTGTAGGTTTTTCGATCTCCTTCTCGTCCAATCCAATACAAAGAAAGTTCACACTTGTAGACCGTTATTTCTGGTTATAACTAACAGTTGTTCCACAACTTTCACCGTCCAGGTGAGGGAGCAGCTTGGGGTACCGAAGTTTGGTTAAATCGAATAAACTGAACCAAACTTCAAATAGGTGGGTCATTTACAAAGACCTGTTATAACTTAAAAAATTGAATATAAATATAATAACTGTTATCAGTATTCATTGGTTCATAATTTTTATGATATGATGAAACAATTAAAAGTTTAGGAAATTACTAATATCAATTTTTTGGTTAATTTCCAGTTCGGCAGTCGAACTGGAAGAGAGGAAGACGAACTGACATAGGGAAAGGGGATTTGCATTTTTGTGAATACCCTAGTGCTCCCATCCTAAATTACTAATTTAGTTATGGAAGTTTGGGTTTTTCGGTTAACCAAACTGCTAAATACAATAACCGAAACCGAAACCCGAACTTCTAAGAAAGCAATGTTTACAATTGAACTAAATCAAATACCCAAACTAACTGACCCGAAAGCATCGAACCCAAAATTTTGGTTCAGTTATTTGGTTTTAACTGAAGTATGCTCACCCCCAGGAGTAGCGATGAATAATTAAAAACCAGAAAGGATTCATGTGATAAACGGGTTTTATTTATAAGCAAAATTGAAGATCCAGTTATATCATATGTGTCCATCTAAGTCCAATTGAAGTACTATTTTGGGGGGTTATGACTAGTTTATCCAATTACAATCTAAGTTGCACTTTAATGAGAGTAGCCAATTTCCTATTCTTTAGATAAAATTGTTTATTTTATCTTAATGTTTTATTTTTGAAAAAGATTTATTTATTAATTTTTATTGGTTTATTATTATTTTGTATTAATTTTTAGTTAAACTTGTAAAAAATACTCTTATAATAATTTTATAAACCACATTTGTATTTTAACCCTAACAAAGGCCTCTCCTATAGTTTTAAGAAAAAAAATGCAAACACCTCATTTCCCATGGCTTTTTGATAACAAAAATAATAAAGTTACCAAAATACCCTTATCATTGTTAATGCATTATCATACATAATTTAAAGTTTCAACTTTACCCTCCACTAATTTATTTTGCAAGGTAACTTTTAAAAAATTCTCCTTGCTTTTCTTAGATATAAAGTAAAGTAAAAAGGCTGAAGTGAAGTAAAACTAATGCATTACCTCAACATTTTTATTTGAAATGATGATGAAAGGAAGGTATTTCGTATTTGCACCTTTTTCCAAAACAATAGGGAAGGTTTTTGTTAACATCAAAACACCGGAGAGTTTCATAGGATTGTTAGAAAACCCAAAGATTTTTTTTATACTTTTCCTTACTTTTAAATGGAATTTAAATTGATTTTAAAATAATTAAACTATATATGAATTTAATATTTTTTATTAATATTTGAAATTAGTAAAAAATAAATTTATTTAAGCATACTAAGTTTTTTATTAAATTTAAATTCCTTGTGAAATTTAATTAACTATATAAATTTCTATTTTTCAATAGAACTTAAGTTGGTTTTAAATTAATAAAATTTAATTATATAACTAATAATTGTTTGATAATTTTGTATTAATTTAATGTTAATTTTAAATTGATGTCGGTTTTTAATTTATCTTATTCCTTTTATTAATTAAATTCTTTATATTATATTAATAAAAATATTTTTATCAATAACAATAATTAATAATTATTTTATTTTATTTAAGTAGCTTACTAAATTATTTTTTATTATGGTTAATTAATTTTCATTATTTCCAAATGGAATATAAATGGATTATAATTTTAAATGGAAGTAGATTATTTACTGCAATAATATATCATTGAATATCTCAATTTCGATATGATAAATCTTTGCTAATAATTAAAGTTTAATGCAAACGTATCTAGTATATATAACATTGTAGTTAAATTGAAATAGATAGATAGATAGATAAAGTTAATAAATTTTATGCAATTTAATGGAGTAATGGGGATGATAGAGAATTAGTAGCATGAGTTATTGAAAGAGAGTTAATGGCATAATTAATGAGGATAGATTATTAAAATACTTAATGAGAGAGAGAGAGAGAAAGAGAGTTAATGGTGTGTTATTTATGAGGAGTGTTAGAAGTATTAAAGGTGATTGGTCACTTGAGTTATTTTTTTGCAATTTTAAAATTATAAAATTCAAAAAAAACATAAAAAAAGAAAAAAGATAAGTGCTTTTAAGAAAAAACCAAAAAAAAAAAAAGATAAGTGTGCTTTGAGAATAAACCAGAAACCAGGAAAGTGCTAGCTTGGCACATTCCATTTTAATATATAGATATAGATGATTGTATAAACAACTTTGACTAGGGTTGTCAATGGGTGGTGTTATCTGTCAAACCAAATTAACTGAACCGATTATATTGGTTTTTTTTAATGGAACTTGACTTATAATTCATTTTCACTCTTTAAAAATAACTTCAAACAGGAGGAAGTGGAGAAGTAGCCATTTGGATTAATGGTCCAAACTAATATACCTGACAAAGTAGACGAAGGCGAGTCCAGATCTCCAGCACACAAGAACACCTACATAATATCGCATACACATACATAGAGAACATCTCATCCTCCTATATAGTATTATGCATGGGGGTAGTGTGTTGTCAGTAAACATGGGCAGAGTTTTTCTGGGCAGGAGAAATCGACGAAGGGCAAGGGAAGCTGAACGTGTAAACGCTTGTCTGAGAAATCTTCTCTCCACTCATGATGAAGTTTGTAAACTCTAGGTTCTATTTGAATTAGAAGAGGTATTGTCCAAAAGAAGCACCTCAATGGATAGTCGCGGATCTTCTAATGCATTAATACTCCAACTATCCCCAAAACATTCAGTTGGACTTGTACCACTTTCTATCGAGTTAAACCTATGCCAGGTTTGTGCTGGTTTATTTAGGTCCACTTTCTATCGAGTTAAACCTATGCCAGGTTTGTGCTGGTTTATCGAGTTAAACCATACTGCTAGACCGAAGACCTCTATCATAGTCTAGTTTTTTCTTTGATGCCTTGTTCATTTTTCATTAAACTGGGGCGGGTTCCATAGAAATACCCATACTTTATTGTATTTCAATATTGGTAAATAATATCCTAGAGAGAATTGGATAAATAACTTTCAGGTCCATGGATAGGTGTTTGGCACTAAAGCGTTTTATTTTTGTTGATGTGATTAAATGGAATCATGGGATTCGGGAAAATGAGAAGTTTTTTGAATCGTTAAGGTGACGTGGGACATTACTAAGGTGGTGTGGGACATTAAAATTTGAAAAAAATTACTTATTTTCTGAAATATCATACAGCTTTCATTATAAATATATTATAATAATAATCCAGATCAATTTAAATGCCCATTTAACTTGCATTTTTATCAAATACGATTTTTTTTGTATTTTTCAAAAAATAATGAAAGGAAACACTTATAATTCGGAAAACAGAAACGATTGTGAAACATTACGGTGACAAACACCTATAACCTACCCATTTCTCGAATCTCGAAAAACGAACAACGCATGTTGTCAAGCAAAAGTACTTTCTACACAGTCGCATCTCCGCTCACAATGAAGAAAACAAAGTTAACAAACAAAACAAAAAAGAAAGAAAGAAAAAGCAAAAGGAACTCCCTTTATTAAACCGCGAATTTACTTGTAGCTATTTCCCCTCCCGTGCTTCAAACTTCTTTTATCTCTGATACTCGGAGAGAACAAATGCATTGATGATTATATGTAAGTGGTGATCGAATCGATCAAAGAAACAGCATCAATGGCCCTCTCGACGCGGCAGCGACGCCCTGTTTTTTCTGATTCATCTGTTTCATCATCCACTTCATATTCGAAACTCGACAAAGCGGAGAAACCAGAGCCCAAAGACGAAGACATAGGGTTGGGCTGGATGCTGCCCTTGTTTGCGTTGGGGATGCTGAGGTATATGAGCGCCCACTCCAACATCATTCACGATTGTGATGAAGTATTCAATTACTGGGAGCCGCTTCACTTCCTCCTCTATAAATCTGGCTTTCAAACTTGGGAATACAGGTATGTTTTGATCTGTTTGCTAAATAACTTTAATTTTTGTTCTCATGGGATCTTAAGAGTTATGTTTATTCTTGTTTTAGTATTTTTCGTACTGATTGCTTTTGACCTTAAGGTGGAGCTGGTGACACAAATCATGTCTGGTCCAATAATTGAAACTGATATTGATCGAAGGAACTTCATGGAGTAAAATTCAGAACCTCTACGAAAACAGTAGTCATTCTTATTTTTTAAAAGGTTCTACTGGAGAAAGAATTTCATTTCTATATTCACTCCGTGAATGAATGTCCTAGACTATTGGCTTGAACTATGGGATCATAAAAATATGTTTTCTGTCCTATGAGATCATAAAAATGATAGAGCTTGGTTTTAATAGCTTCAACTAAGTTAATGTCGTTACTGGAACATTTTAAGGGGAAAAAAGAAAAAATAAACACTTTTAATAGTACTAGTAATAAAGTTAAAATCCTAGGAGAACTCAAGGGACTGTGATTGGAAGGGACATAATATTTCATGTTTCTGAGGTTTCCTCTGGAATGGTTATTTGGTTTCATATGCCTGCTCGGTACTCACTGTAGTTGCGCTTTGATGACTTGTCCAGCCAACCTGGAATGTGGGGCCTGGTCGATCCAATGCCTGACTTAGGCATTGCATGACATCTACATCTCTAATGTATTGTAGATGTGCGAGTCTCAAGGTCTTACCTCTTGAGTCTCATACCTAAATTTCATGCTTGGACCCTGTTACAGGCATTCTCCTCATACAGTAATTGAAGTGGGGTTATCATCAGAAGACTGAGTTTAAGATCAATGCATCATGTACAGACACATTATTGTGACTAGTACTTTATTTATCATGCTTACTGTAGTTAGGGTTTTTAAACCCTTTTGAGTTTTGAAGTTTTATTTTATGTTTAGAATTCTTAATACACATTCATGTATCTTTAAGAGCAACATGTATGTACCCTTCCTTGTGACTGTATTAAAAATGAAATCTGCAACTTCTATGACTTTGGTATGTGTTAATGGTTAAGTGCCATCAATGGAAACATTTCCAGGCTTATTACCATATGTGTATGTGTGATGATCATATCATTCATATATTCTTCTTATATAAAAATAGTCCTTATCATAGTTTTCAAGGTGGTTTTACTTAAAAAAATCCATCGCCTAGTTTTCAAGGCACCAAGGCGAGGCTAGGCGATAGGGGGGCGCCTTGTTGCCTTGTCACCTAGGTGCCCCCGCCTAGGCGATGGATTTTTTTAAGTAAAACCACATATCCTAGGGTAGTTCCCTAGGTTCCATAACCATCTTTCCTTAATAACTATCCATAATTTTCATAAGAAAATTATAAACTTCACGTTTAAGTTTAGAAAATCAACATATTCATGAGAAGAAAAAGAAGAAAGAAAAGAAAATTCAAAAAATATAGGGGCTGAACCCCTATTTTTGTTATAGGAAAAGAAGAAAAGAAAAGGTGGAAGAAGAAGAAGAAATGTGTTGATAAGACAAAATTTTAAATTCTTCCCTTACTTATTGGTTCAGATTTTGAAGTCTTTGAGGGTTCAATATGGCAGTTAGTGATGTTTGTGTTGATTAAACCCTAGCAAATAAGAAAATAATAAAAAGAAATTAGTTTATTTTATAAGCAGTTAGTGATTTTTGTGTTGATTAAACGAAAAAATGAATATTTTTGTTTAATAATGTCTATTTTGTAATTATAATCTCAAAAAAATAACTATATAAATGTATTTTATAGGACAATATACAAAACTGCTTGGCAACTGGGCGAGGCGAGCCTCCAATGGTGCCTTGTTGCGTAGGTGTTGCCTTTGACAACTATGGTCCTTTTTTTTGACAAGTAACTATAGTAATTTCATTAATAAACTCCTTATTACCCAAAAACAGTGGATTACATGACACAAGGTGATATTTTTTACGGTTCTAATTTATTCTTAGTTTTAAACCATTTTTAAAGTGTGGAGCTGTGATTTGAGGGGTTTGATTGGATGGAGGCATGAAGCGTAGTTCAGAACCTATCAAAAATAACACCTCACATAGTTACATTATGCTGATGAAGCGCTCTGAACTATGCCTCACATCACGCCTTCAAGAGCCTCCTTGTGCCTGGGAAACTTATTCCACTTACGTTCTGAACTACTCTCTCCCTTGCTTACTTAGCCCTCTCAAGTACCACTCTCTTTAGAAATATGCAATTGAGGCAGGGAAGCAACTCCTGACTGCAAAAAGTCCTATCATTTTTGACCAAATACTGTAAGAGAACTTACAGTGTAACAGTAAGTGGCTGACTGTCTCTAGGCCTTATTGCATAAAGCAGAATTTGTGTAGGGTATCTGCATCCCCCTTTGAATTAGATTTTCTCTAGTCAAGATTCTTTCAAGAGTGGCTGACCTGACAAAAAAGAGAAAACTACATTAGATGGCACAGGTGCATAGCTGCCTGGTTAACCCATTGTAGAAGGATCTCACAGAGAATTGCCCAGAATTTTCCCAGGCCCAAATTCTCTTATCTTCTCTATTTACTACTACCTGTGTGTTGTAACTAAAGTTTCTGTAGCAGCTCTACCATTGGGGTCACCTCCTAATCATTTAGGTTTCTCCTAAATATGGGGTTCCATGTTACAATGCCATTTTCACTTTGTAGATTCAGCTATACATGCCTCCTTATCAGCTGCTAGTTCAAACAGAGCAGGAAATATATCTTTTAGAGGTTTGTCTTCACACCAACAACCCCTTCAGAACATGATTTTCTGATCATTTCCCACTAGAAACTTCACACCCTTGCAATAGCTATTGTAAGCTTTTTTCACTCCCCTCCAAACCCTATAGTCATAAGGTTGCCTCACCTCACCAGAATCCCACCTCAAATTTTGTGTGTAGTTTCTGAAATTGAATTTTATGTGAATGGATCTTTCTAGTTGGACAAGAACTGTCTTGTCCAATTTAATTTTTAAAAAGGGAAGTTGTTCTTTTTTTCCTTGTCTTTCTTTTGGCAAAGCATGTTCAGCGGTCTTCTCCGGATGACCTCCCTAGCAATGTGAATAGATGTTGTGTCTCAATCTAGGCCATCTACCATTTGACTGTTCATGTTGAATCTGATCCGGTCAGATCTGATAGGACTCGATTTGAATTCAAATCCTATCGGTAAGTTGGATCTTCGAAAGATCCGATCTGACTTGTTTTCTTTAAAAATTAATAAATTATTAAAAGAAAAACAAAATATACTAATTTAAATAAAGTAAAAACAATTTATTTTCATGATATATATATACATGTTTTTTATAAAAAATAAATAATATAACCAATTTATAAAAATCTAATATAAAAATATATTTATAAATAAATACCATATATATGTATTATATATATTTATATTTTATAAATATATAATATATATTGGATTGGATCTTCTCGGAACGGATAGGGGATCCAAATCTGATCCAATTTCTGATCGGATCCCATTACCCGATCCGATCCGTTCAGGGGTGATCCGAATTCGACCATATCGGATCAGATCGGATCATGATCCAATCCATTTGCATCCCTAGTTGCATGGAGTAGGACCTCCCCTACCCACATGATGTCCTATAATAGCAATCACTTCACCTGCTATGTTTTTACCTAATCCTTCAATTTCCTTATTGAGGTATGACATCGACTTTTCCTTCATATATTGGTGTATACTCATGGAATTTGGTGTCCACACTCCACAATTAGTTGATTGGCCCCAATGCTTGAAGTGATCAAGTCTGAGGGAATATTTCTTTGTTATACCATGATACCATCTTCTAATAATAATATGAATTTCTGTTGTTGACAAAAAAATGATACCATCTTCTACTGAACACTGTTTGTATATATCTTCATTGCAGCTCCCAATTTGCCCTTCGGTCATATCTATACATTCTTTTTCATGAGTTAGTGGCTCAACCTGCTTCCTGGTTGTTTGGTGAGGAAAAGGTGAGATGCTTCCATTCTTCTTCTTCTTTTTCATTGATGAACAAGTGAATGAAAGTTACCGTTTCCAATAAAAAAAAGTGAATGACAGTTGTACTTTGGAATCCTTCATATAATGTAAGTTACCGTTTCCAATAAAAAAAACTGAATGAAAACTTACACTCTTCATGCATTTGTACTAGTGCAAATGAAAATTGCATTGCAAAAAAGGAGCTTAAGGACTAATTGGCTATTCTGTTCAGGCACTAAATGCTCCCTTTTCTTTTGTTACTGAAGTAGTTGCATTTGACGTTCTATTAATCATTCCTTTCTAAAATTACAGGTTAGAGTATTCTATGCGGTAAGACTCTTCCTTGGCCTTATCTCAGCCATCACAGAGACTGTTTTAGTGGTTGCTCTTTCTAAGAAATATGGAAAGCGCCTTGCTTCTTATACACTTGCAATGTTATGCCTGACCAGTGGTTGTTATTTTGCTAGCACAAGTAAGGTGTTTCAACTTCACTCCTGTTTATGCTAAGATATCTGTCTCGATCTCTGTTAATTTTTGCTATTTAGTGCCTGTTTGGGAGGGCATTCATATAGCAGCTTCAGGCTTTACAATGTGGGCCCCACCCAGACTAGGCCTGTAAATGGAGTGACTTTGAATTGAATCAAGTCATATTCAAATTTAATTCCAACTACAGAATAGGTGATTCAAATTCGATTTGATGTCCGTTGGATATTCAAAACTACACACTGAATTCAGCTTCAATTAAAGAATTGAATATTCGAATTTGACTGATTGTATAAATGTTAAAAACTTAGTTCTAGAAATCAGACTGAGGAAGAATTGAAAGAAATCCCTCCAATGCTGTGACTTGTGAACAAGAAACAAGGACCTCAAAAAACTTGGAATACGATGACACGAGAAAAAATATTAAAAGCTAGAACAAATAAGAGAGAGATAAATACATCTTGGATGGTTGCAGCTGATAGAAGCCGTAGTTCAAAAGTCGGAAGTCAGAACGTTGTGAAGCCCCTTTTCTACAAAACCCGGTGCTCTCTCCCTTCTCTGTGCTTGCTCTGAACTCTTTTTTTTTATGAAAGATACAAGAGGTGAGAGATGGAAATAGGAAAAACAAGGGAGATGAAGCGGAGAGAGGGAGGGATTAATAGCTAAATGAAGCAAAGCAGAACCTTACCAGTGAGCGAAGACGAAGTAGAGGGGAAAGTCCTCTGTTAAAAATGTAAAATGGTGAAATGTCAAAGGAAGAGACTGTTCCTTTTCTCAAAATGTAATGATAGCCTATGTCAGTACTCTTTACAAGTGGAAGAGTGAGAGGGAGGCAGTTTTTGTATTCAAAACATTAAAAAAGTTACAAGCTAATAAAATAAAATAATATATTAATTTATGTCAGCTTATGTCAGTACTCTTTACAAGGTAATCATGATAGCTTCTGTTAGTGTCATTTAATAAAATAATATATTAATATCTTGTAAATATAATACATACATACATACATACATGAGATAATTCTAGATGATGACAATGTTTTAAAACGCGGAGGCGTGACGTGAGGCGTTCCACTACCTAGAGGAGTGAGGCGTAAGCCTCCTTAAGAGGAGGGGGTTAGGATGAGGATGAAGAGGAAGGGGGGATCTCATATTTTCTTTATTTTTAATAAAAATCTTTTCTTTCCTTTTCTCTTTTTTTCCTCTCTTTTTCTTTCCCTTCCCTTTCTTTTCCTTTCCTTTCCTTTTTTTTTCTTTTTTCTTTTTTTCTGTCTTTTTATATAAGATGTGCATGAGGCGTTCACCTCTAGCATGCCTCATGAAAAAAGCGTAAGAGGCGTAAGCCTCAGAGGTGTTAGTGCCTCTGGCATACGCCTCAGGGCGTTTTGGGAGTGCCTCCAGGCATATGCCTCCCACGCCTTTTAAAACACTGATGATGATAATGATAGTAATAATGTATCCAAAAATTTCTATAAATACGTATTTTTATTTTTTGTTATTATATGCCTTTTGCTTTTTATTATTAATTGGATGCATATTGCAAAATCCAAATCTAATTACATAAACAACTCATCTAAATATGTGATAATTGGATCGAGTTGTGAAGTTTCAAGTACATTGACAGGTCTACCTGTTTGGTTAGATTCTTCTTTTTATAATATTTAATCTTATTTAGTTTTTTTTTTCTATTCATTTATCAAAAATGTAAGATTTAAATAAAGGAAATTGAATGAGGTGAAAAGTAGTAGTTCAATTTACAATTTAAACCTCACAATTAAATAGAGACTAAATTCAAAAATGAGTATTTTAGTCAAAAGAAAGTTCCACAGTCTTATTTATATTTTTAATAGTAGTGTAAATATATAATTATAGATGTGTTCATTTTTTTTCTATTTCTTTGTAAAAATAATTCTGATATTTCACACTTACTTTTTGTTTAATATGATAATTAATTAATATTATACATGTGCCTGAATGTTTTTTTGCAATATTTATGTATTTTTATATTATTATTTTTTATTTTTTATTTATGACATTAAATGTTAATACATTTGACCTAAAAGTTGAACTGTTGATGTTTGCCAAATACTAAAATAATTTCATTATTGGTTAGTTCTAAAGTATGTATTTCATTTTCATTATCAATAAAAATAATTCTTTTTATTACACTTATTTTTTTTCATTTGGTTAATAAAAGTTGTAGAGAACATTGATGTGGGCCCCACAGCTGTGGTACCACTCTGTCCGTAGGGTAGAATGTATCTAGTCACAGCTGTGGTTATTTTGTTGTTCTATTATTTCTAGTTTCAGTTTTATATTGGTTGTTATTTGTTAG